CATGTTATTGATTGAAACCAAATACAACAAGAGGAAAAATTCTCCTGGGAAAGGCAGCATGTGTTGGATTCTAAAATAAAGTGAGCACTTAGGATCACTACTTCTCTTCTCCACAGGACGTGCCAATGGCACTAGACCTAGACACTAGGCTCAGTCTCAAGGCACCAGGAAGTCCTTGTGATTACAAATGCAAGTCAACAGAGCCAGGAGGCAGGCCCTGCCCAGACTGCCCCAGGTGAGGCTGTGGCATCTCAATAATTGAAGCTCTTCTATTGTAGTTGTAATGAAAGGTCACAGTGTATCGATGTGGGCTAGTCCTTGCCTGCCTGAGAGTGGGAGATGGACTTTACGAGCTCTGCAAGCCACTTAAGAAGGCTTTAAAGAGCTAATAAATAAGAGCCATGAAACAGGCCACTTTAGTGACCAGGCAGAAAGAGTTAATAAAAGTGAGCCTGAGCGGGACTACCCAAGCCTGCATCCCCTCCCCAGGGACCTACCAGACTCAACCCCTAGAGAGAAATTTTTCTGTAGAAACATCCTTAGAAAAAAGAAGATAAGGCCCCAACCTTATTTGTTGGGGCTAGTTTTTGACGCCTGTGCAGACTGCTGGAGCCTGCCTTCAGCTTGAACACCTCACTGTAATACAATTAGAATGAAATGAACATTATGACTTGGCCCCACCCCCACAATGGGTTTTTCTATATACATTATGGATAAGAGCATGTGCAGAGAAAAACTGGTTATATAACATACACATATCAATCAAATGACCTTGGTCTATATGTCAGATGGATGTCAAATCTCCTGCTATAGGAAATTTACCTACCCTTTCCTATATAAGAAAAAGTTAACCTGAAGTTGGGTGCAATTGTCCACTAGAGACTCTGTCCCCGGCAGCCTCTCTGCGGGCGCCTTTCTTCTTAATAAACTTTCTAACTTCTATTCCTTTTGAGTCATGTGAATTCTTTCACATTCTGCAAATGACCAGGGGTATCCACAGACAAAACATTTAGCCCAGGGCTTTTTGCAAACTCTCTATGAGTGTGTCACCTACAGTGCTGCCCCCAAACTCTGGACCAAAGCCTGTGGCTCTGGGGGCCGGCCAGCTGCTGACCAAGTCTGTACTGGCAGCTCTGATGCCCTCCAGGAACTTCAGGGGCCCACAGGCCTCAGGCACTGGCATCTAGGTGTGCTTCTCAATAACGGAGTTAGAATACAAGGCACGAATAGTACTAAAATGGCAATTGTAAATGGAATTCCCATTGTACTTGACAGTTTCCACACCTGTTTGCATGCTTTTCATTTCATCCGAGTTATTTCCTTTCGAGGCTCATGGATGTGTAGTGACTTGCCCAAAGTCACATAGTCAGTAAGTGGCAGTGAGGGACTTTGACTCGTCCTTTGGCTCCAAACCTCATGTCATGTGGCAGAGTTGTCCAGTGACAGACTGCCTTCAAAAGTGGGGACAGCAGGGGCCTGGGTCTGGTGAGCCAGCGTCCAGGGCACTTTCCTCTGCCCAGTTTTCTCCGGCTGCCCTTGAGGCTGAGGTGTTAGCTACGGTCTAGCTGTTGGGAAAGGGACTTTTCACTTCTGCAGTGAGAAATGACCTATTGCTCAGATAAAAAGGTGTCTGAGGCCTCCCTCTCTGAAAATGACAGGCTGGGCCCTCCTGTGGAATTCGCAGGTAGTAGGGAAATTCAGGCACACTCTCCTTCTGTCTTGTAGGCTTGAGACTGAGAGACGCTCAGGAAGCAACATGCCTCCCCACCTACCCTGACCCAGCTTGTGCCGCTGAGCGAGGTGAAGACTGTGGATGGCTCAGTGGGTGGGACAGGTAGAGGGGTTGGCAGGGAGGATGGCCGAAGGGCTGCGTTTCTCAGTACTGAGGCAAGAGCAGGCAAGGCATGCCCAAAGACTCACAACCAGACAGTGCGTGCAGGGGGGGCTGGGGCGGTGCCTGCTGACTCTGCTCTATTTCAATGCCCAGCTCAGAGCCTGGAGTCCATTAATAAATGTTTGTTGGCTGAACTTTTGATCACTGAACATGTTGTGTCTGAGCCTTAGCTAAATATGGGCCAATTGCTTCCAACAGGCTGGGACAGGGCAGCCTGGGAGGCCCCAGATGTGGAGGCAGGCACATCGCCTACGGTCAGACAGATGGGAGGAGAGGGCCCATTCTCAGGACGTCAGGCTTATTCTGGCAGTCACAAGACCACAGGCCCAGGGCTTGGACACAGTAGTGGCAGCCTGAGGGTGTAAGGCAAGCTAAGGTGCCTCCCAGGTGGGCAGCACTTAGTAACCAGGTGCGCAGGGAGGTATGATTCAAGACTCCAGGGAGGTAGCAGGGATCCAGAAAAACCTGTCTGTAGGAGGAAGGCTCCAGAAACCAGGCTGGGGAGCCTCTGTGTAGTAGAGAGGGGGGTTTGCAAGAATAAGACAAAGCTCGCATACTACGTGGACTTGGGACGTAAAGCAGGAGATCAAGGCAGGGCAGATGCCCAGTGATCAGAGCTGGCCATGGCGCCGGGCACAGACTCCTGGCCCTGACTGCCCAAGACACAGGAAGTGGCAGAAATATCTGGCTTAATTTCATCCCATTACTGAGACCTGGAGCCAGGCTGGGCCTAGAGATGGGGTGCCAGGTGTGGAGCCAAGAGGAGAGGAAGGCTGCAGAGACAGGGCACCAGGTAGGGCCTGGCAAAGGGGAGATGGCCTTCATGAGGTGGCTTTTACAGGAGAAAAGAAAATGTCAGCATCTCCCGAGGGACACAGACAGAGGGGAGACAGGAGCCCCGTGTTCCTAGAGTCACTCCTGGGTACGTTCCACAGGAGCATGCTGGTCGCCTGTCACCCTGTCACCTCCCACCTGTACCCCCACTCTGCTCAGGGAAAGACGCGGGCAGAAAGAGGGAGGCCCCTGCACAGTTTGTGGCCTAGTAGAGAAGAGAGACCATGTCTGCAATGGAGCTCAGAGCAAGCCCAGAGTGACCCAGGTACAAACAAGCCCTAAGAAGTTCACAAAAGAGGCACCACGGCTGCAGGTCTGAGGAAAGGGGGGCTGGGAATGGAAGGGAGCCATTCCCCAGAGAGGGAGAAGAGTGATAGGGGAGAAAGTCACTAATGCGATTTGCACAGTCCCCCTCCCTCCCCCCAAAAAAAGGCAGAATCCGGGGAAAAAACAGGTTTCATAAGTGAAGTCATTCTTATAGCATATCTATTGTCATGCCGAAACCTCATACACTGACTACCATGCTCACAGCAGATATTGCTTATTTTCCACTGAATCAGAGAGAAATTGCAGTTCCTGCTGGAGCCTTCCCAGAGGCAGGAGGGAGGGGCTGTGGTGGAATTGCTCCTTCACGCCTCCCAGGTTCCCATCCTGCAGCCCAGGAGCAGAGAGGGGATGGTGTGGCGGGGGCAGAAGACGGGGGCCAGGGCAGGCCCGGGGTTGACCCTCCTCTCTTCTGAAGGCCCAAAAGACTGCTGGGCCTTTGCTCAGCCACCTCCCACCCCCCAGGGGTGTCAGGGATGCCTGCAGGCCCCAAAGGGGAGCTTCGTCCTGGTTGGCTCCTGGCAGGGTAGGATTTTGCCCCATTGACCCTGGATGGAATTCAGCACAAAGCTGGATGGGCTCACTGACTGAGGACAGGCAGAACCCAGAGCTGAATTTTAAAGGGGCCTCCTCAAGGAGCAAACAGCTCTTTCACTGCAGTGAAAACCCACGAATGAGTTCCCCTAGAATGCTCTCTGGGGATCACACCCCAATGTCCTTCCTTAACCCCTCCCTCTTCTAACACAGTCACTGTTGTCTCCTCTTAAGTTTCTTGATTGTTCTTGTCTAATACATGTGGACAAAAAGCATTACACGATTTTCACTGTATTTGTCTCCAGGTACAAAGAAAGAGAGGCCTCCTGGGCGGGAGGTGCTGAGGAAGCAGCATGAACAGCCGAGTGCACGCTGAGCAGGACTTTTGTTCTTGCCCAGGTCCACCATAGCTCCATTCCTCCTCCCAGGGCTCAGAGCCTCGGCTACAAGATGCGTGAGGAGCACCTTGCACTTAACTCCCAGGGCTTTGGGGAAGCCAGTGAGTAGGGAGATGCCAGAGAGTTTTGAAAGGGTGGGGACACTGTCGCTAAAGTCAGTTAGTTATTATCTTTGAGGGCACTGCTGTCCCCAGGACAACTATCCCCAGACAAGGCAAGGCCTCCTTTGTATGCTCCAGTCCTGGGCCCCGTCAGCCCCACCCTTTCCTCTAAATGGCCCCCCTGCCTTTCCAGCCCCTGGAATGTCTCTCCCAGGGAAGATGATGGCATGAATGAGACTGCCTCTCTCTGAAGCTGAAGAATAACCAAAAACCAAACCAAATCAAAACACTTCACCGGGCCTGGCAATGGATGTTGTATTTCTTTCTATACTACAGAGACTCCGTTTCCACTCTTGGACTGAGGCTAGAAGTTTCCCCCAGAGGTCTCTAATGGAAAACAAGGGCTCCACTTCTCTTGGGGCCTCTGAGTACTGTGGTGCAGTTTGTACACTGCACAAAAGCATCAGGCCAAAGGGCAAGTGAAATCCACTTTGCCTGCCATCTATATGCTCCTTGAGGAGGCCCCTTTTAAAATTAAGACAAAGGCCCTGTATCTGCCCACAGAACCTGTCCCCCTTTCTGAGTGATAACGGTTTCAGAGAGAATATTTTAGAGCTGAAGGGAGCAGGAAATAACATAAAGATGCAGGTGAGTAAAAATGTGGTTCTGAGCCAGGTGGAGGCACCCAGCCAAGACCCAAAGGCTGAAGAAAGTGCTTTAGGTGAAACTGCACAGGTCTGTGGGCAGGAGGGAAGGGACAAGGGAGAGTCCAAGACAGCACTGACCTCAGAGTGTTAGGCCCGGGAGGACTTCAGTGTCACCTACAAAAGTCGTTTTCAAAGATGTTTGGTTTTGGTCTTGGTTCCTTTTCATTTCTTTATTTTATTTTTACTAGTAAAATTCTTTTTCCAAAGAAAATAAAACCAGAGAAAGTAAATATTGTTCTTTTTGAATCTGGACAGAGAAGACCCAGAGCTCTGCCCACTCTGGCCCTGGCACTTCCCACAAGCCTCAGGGCACCCAGGACAACAGTATGAAAATCGTTCACTTGGTCCAGCTCCCTGTTTCTGTGGTGATGAGGCCGAGCCAGGAGCGCAGCAGGACCCGCCCAGCGCCCACAGTGCATTGAAGGCACAGTGGGCTAGACCTCCATGGCCCAGGCGCCCAGCCCCAGAGAGGCGGGCCCTCAGGCTACCTGGCCATTGAATCTTCAAGGCAGCTAGACCTGGGTCCCTGTTCACAGGTGAGGTCCCCTGTGAACCACTCCCAGCCACAGAAGTCTCTCATTTAGTTCTGCCCTCTCCGTGATTGGAGTGGAGTCCAAAATATTAGTGGTGGCAGGGCTGAAGAAGTTGGGGAGACTGGAGATTTACTATCCACACTGAGGAAGGGAACTGTGATGGGAAACTGGGGTGCCACCTCAAGGACTTCAAGTGTCTTTCACCTGGGCTCAGTGGAAAGGCCCAAAAGGCCTAGACAGGGAGTGTCGCTTCACTGGCCTTTCCTCAGACTCTGCCTAGTCTCTCAGCCACCGTCTCCTGCTTTTTCCTGGCCCTCCCAGCAGCATGCACACCCCAGATTCCTGCTCCTTACCTTGGCTTCCCTCCAGGCTACATGTGGCCTCCCGCTCCAGAGCACTCTCGGTTAGCTCATGTCGCCCTCCCCAGCTCCAGGGCCCTCTCCCCACCTCCTGAGAGTCTGCAGGGGAGGTGCCCTTGAGCCAGTCCTGACTTCCCAGCTGCTTCTACCCAGGACCTCACCTCCCCCGGAGCGTGGAGCAACCAATGTGTTGCTCCTTTGATTTTCTGTTCCGTTATGGCCTGTGATTTGTCCCCCGGCCCTCCCACTCCGGAGCACCAGGAATGCAGCTGTCCCATTGCTTCACTCTCATGTGCATTTATTGAGCGCCCACAGACGGTGTGGTACTACTACTCTCAGGGTTCAGAGCCACAGTCTAGTCAAAAGGAGACCAGAGCTAGTACAGAGAACGTTTCATAGCTGCTTAACATCTGGCAAGAGATGGGGAGGGGAGAACTAATCACAAAACAAATTCCTATTCGAAAGCAACAGAACCTCCTCTGAGAGTAGTATATATTCTACGCACACATACGCGCACGCACACACGCCCTGAATGAACACATGGGTGTACCCAGTGGTTGTATATGCATGCATATACAGTGTCGTGGGTAAATAAACGACTGTATATGCTGTCCGTGCACACGCACGCACACATCACCGCACAGACAGGAAACCTGGCTTATGCTATCAAAGACACTAGTCTCCAGGTTCTAGTGAAGCGCTCTGCCCTAGATGCCTGCAGCATGCAAAACTCGGCAGGTCTGGAGATTCACAGTAAAGGAGGACAATGGGTATACATGGGTACTGTCTGTCCTCAGGCCCAGCTGCAGCACTCGGTGAGCTCGCTCTTGCTCAGCAACAGCAAAGCCATTGTGAGGGGCTCGCAGAGCAGAGCTGAGGAGCCGGAGGCTCTCTGTCCAGTGGCAGGGCCCGCGGGAGCCCTGCTGAGTCCCTCAGTCTTCGAGGCAGAATTTAAAACTCTGGTTTTCGAGCGTGTAGTCCTGCAAACAGTATTCCTTGTTACAGTGCTGCAGATCGAGGTGAGAGTTTTTTTTCTCGCTTGCTCTCTGCAGCTTCCCACATGTGCTAACGCATTTTGTAGTCATTAGATACAGATGTTTCACACAGCTGTCCCTTAAAATCCAAGTCTACTGTGAAATCGAGGTCTCGCTGCAAAGAAGGAGCAAAGGGTCACCGCATTAGTGTGGTAGGAAGCCACGCACCACTCCCCTCCCCGCAGGCAGAGGGTTGGGCCTTCACTGGGTTCCTAAGGTTTGCTAGCTAAGGAGTTCCCACGAACAGCCCTCAGGAATCTATTCTTGTACCTCATTATCCTCAGAGGAAGTACTTTGATTCCTAACCCAAATCCTTCCTGTTATAATATAAAAATGTTCCCTCTGATTTCACCTTGGGAGAAAACAGAGTGGGGTGGTTGAGTCTTCTGTGGCATAACCCTCAAAGCATTCTATAGACGCTTAGCACACTGTTCCACACCTGGGGCAGCTCAGAAAGAATCAGTCTCCAACCCAGCAAGCCAGCGGAAGAAATAGAAACCAAACTTCCCTCCCTCTCTCTCTCTCTCTCTCTCTCTCTCTCTCTCTCTCTCTCTCTCTCTCTTTCTCTCTCTCTCTTTCACTGTCTCTCTTTGTCTCTCTGTCCACTCTGAAATTTATTAGTGTTGCTCCAACACCTTCTATTCAAATGCAGCCAGATTCTCTCCCATGGGCACACAATTTCCACTCAGTCCAGGAGGAATTACGTCAATCCTTCCTTCTTGTGATGATGTGACAGGATACAATGCCTACGTGATGAGGTGAAGTGAAGTGGACACACTGGACAAAAAGTGGATTCATATCCCGAGGAGGATGGAGCCAGACAGCTGGAGACTTCATCACGATGCAAGATGTGATGACAGAAAGGCCATGTGGTCTGTCTCCATCATGGTGAGAATGGTGGAGGAACAGACTTGAGGGATGGGGCCTCATGACCCAGTGCCAGACGTGGTCCAAGGTGAATGCTAATCGGATTGTGTTGCTCCTCTGCTTAAACCCTCAGAAACTCTTATTTCCTGGCTCAGCTTGTCCTAAATGAAGTGAAACCCTCCATAAAGAGCTACAAGTTGTGCTCAAGGCTGAGAGATTCCAGAGGGGCCTAGGAAACATCTAGTTCCTGAGTTTTAACGAGCCAAGGTTGGAGTCCTGCAGTTATACCTAGTCACATGCAAGCCTGGCTTCTTGCTGCCTTCCCCGGTAACTTTCCTGATTGTGCACAAGGCACTTGGGCACCTGGACGAGTGGGTCCTGGGACTAGCTCTGCAGTCCCCTCTCCTCTCAGACCCCGGCCCACGCAGAGGCTGCCTCAGCACTCACCACATTTTTGGCATTTGGCTTCATGGAGATGGTCCCGTAGAGCTCTTCCCCCCTCCGGACGGTGAGGTAATCTTCCAAGTAGAAGACGGTCTGCTTCCAGTGGGTGTAGGGGGCATCAGGGGCTGAGGGCCGAAGGACAGGGAGCAGGGGATACAGAAGAGTCAGAGGAGACATCTCCAGAAGGGTTGAGGCTGGGACTCTGCCTACAAGTCGCTGGGTTTCCTCTGGGACTCTCTGACCCCCACACAACACTCTTGTTGGGCCATGTGTCCAGCCCTTGCAGCCTGCCTCCAAGCCCCCACCCACCCAAACTCCCCCTCAGTCCTAGTGACCCCTCCTTGCATCAGATTCCCATCCCTCAGGACTGCGAATCTTAGCTGGCAATCAGGAGAGAACAAGTTGATGATACAAGTTCATACCAAGGAGTGGAGGATGAACCCCCTCTCACCAGCTAAGCTCTGTAACAAAAATGAATCCCAGAATGCTACTGTTTTTCATTAATTTGACAGAGTGAAGACTTTCAGACAGTGTGGGGGAGAGATTTAGAGTAGGCCATCCTGTCTCCCCTTAAATGACATCATTTATGCAAACTCCACAGCTAACCCAGTTTCCCCAGTAACACTGACAGCCCAGTCCTACAAATAGCTTTCCCTGCCTGCTTCTCTGCCCTAGAACCAAAATTAGTACCCTTGGCCCAGGCCTGCCGGGGGTGGGGGCGGGGGGTTCAGCTGTGCCTTCCTAACTGGATCCAACAAAGTGAGGGATGATTCTCTTTCCACAGCTCCAGTGCTGGTCTACAGCTCAAACCGCCGGCATGCTTGCACCTCCCCTGTCTTTCCATTAAATCCCACCCATTGCCTCTCAACACATTACAGATTCTACAGCTAAATGAGGGGTCTGTCTAATGGGCCATCTTCCTCAGCTGCAGCCGTCTTTGGAACACTCTCCCCTCCCTACTCATCAGATTCTTTCTTCCTCATCCTTCAAGGTCACTTCCTCTGAGAAGTTTGCCTGGCCACCCACCTGCATTAAGGGCATTCTGGGCTTCCGTTACCATGGTGTCTATCATGCCATAGCATAAATGCCTTTTTCCCCCCACTTCTTTGTGTCCTTCACAAGACTGCAATCTCCATGAGGGCAGGCCTGTTCATTGTTATATCCTCAGTGCTTACCACATACTTAGTACATCTATAAGTCTGAATAAATGAACGACTGATTTGGTAAAAACCCAAAGAGCAAACATTTCATGATGCTTCGATGTACCCATAGATGTTCAGTTACATTGGGGG